ATAGAATAGAATAGAATAGAATAGAATAGAATAGAATAGAATAGAATGGAATGGAATGGAATGGAATGGAATGGAATGGAATGGAATGGAATGGAATGGAACAGAACAGAATGGAACGAAATGGAACCGGACCCAACCAAACTGAACCGAATGGAATGGAACAGAACTGAACAGAACCAAACCAAACAGAACAGAAAATAGAAAATAAAAAATAGAAAATAGAAAATAGAAAATAGAAAATAGAAAATAGAAAATAGAAAATAGAAAATAGAAAATAGAAAATAGAATGGAATGGGAATAGAATGGAATGGAATGGAATGGAATAGAATAGAATACAATAGAATTCAGGATAAAATAGAATAGAATAGAATAGAATAGAATAGAATAGAATAGAATAGAATAGAATAGAATAGAATAGAATAGAAAATAGAATGGAATGGAATAGAATAGAACAGAACAGAACAGAATAGAATTCAGGATAGAACAGAACAGAATAGAATTCAGGATAGAACAGAATAGAATATAAAATTCTTTATTGGCCAAGTGTGATTGGACCCACAAGGGATTTGTCTTTGGTGCAGAAGCCCTCAAGACTCTGAAGAATGAAGGAGGCCAGTCATGCTAGACAGATTTTTATTTGACCTTCTGGCCCAACAGGAAGAGCAAAGTCAGAAAGCATCCATGTCCGTGAAGTGATGGGTGTGCAGAGCCGAGATTTTGGCAGGCAGGCAGGTCTTTCCTTGCCTCTCCAGGCTTCACCAGGTGCTGCCCTCGTCCTGGGGCTCGAACTTGCAGACGAAATAACGCCTGGACCTGCAATTCTGATCGTTCCATGAAAGGTACCCTGGGTAGCAAAAGAGACGTTTCCGATCACCCGGAGAGTTTTCCTGCCTAAGGTGAGCCTGTAATTCACCGTCGGTTGGGGATCGGCCCAACGTCATCCAGCCGGCTTTCGTGGCTAAGGTGGGACTGGAACTCACCGTCTCCCCTTTTTCTAATCTGGTGCCTTAACCACTGGACCATACTGCTTTTTAGGCTGCTCCGGTGAGTTATTATTGGCCTGAACCTGCATTCATAGTTCTGTTCTACATAAATAAGTGGCTGAGATTTATCTCATCGCAGTGCGGTAGACCTTTGACAATAGCAAGAGCACTTAGACTTATATACTGCTTTATAGTGTTTTACAGCCCTCTCTAAGCAGTTGGCAAAGCCAGCCTCTTGCCCCCAACAATCTGGCTCCTCATTTTACCGACCTCGGAAGGGTGGAAGGCTGAGTCAACCTTGACCCGGGTGAGATTTGAACTGCCGAATTGCCGTCAGCCGTCAGTCATCAGAAGGAGCCTGTAGTACCATGCCACCGTGGTTCAATAATAATTTAATATATTAAATTATTAAATTAATGTATTAAAGCAAGGCAGTTATCAGAAGGAGCCTGTAGTACCATGCCACTGTGGTTCAATAATAATTTAATATATTAAATTATTAAATTAATATATTAAAGCAAGGAAAATGACCACACAAAGCCAGATGTCCAGTGACAATGATGGGCCGAGGAAGTAGGTTAAGACGGAGATTGTTTGCTTAATTAGGAGTAATTCTGAGTATTACGGGCCCTGTAATTCTTTGGATATACAGTTTGAGGGTTTGAAGAAAGGGTGGCTTTCCTTTTTAATGGCGTGCCCCATGGACCTTTCGTCTTCCCTTGTCTGTATAGAGGGTAGGACTGTGGAGGCTTAGAGATTCAGGAGGTCAACAAAGGCCATCAGTGGCCAAGGGTTCAGGGTACCAAGAAGGGGTAGGATTCTATCGGTTCAGCCTGGTTCGGAAAAACTGGGACCTCCGAGGATCCTCTGGGAGGGAACCAGTTCGGTTTGCTCCAACAAACAGCAGTTGAACCCACCCTCCCTGCCCGGGCTCTGGGCTGTGCTTTATATCCTGTTTTTCAAGCTCAGCGGATTGCCGTGCATCAGCTATTGGCTGGAGAAGGCCGGTAGCAAATGCTCTGCGCACGTTCACCAGACTGGTTGTTACATTAGTTGAATCGCATCCCTGGTCCCCCTGATTGTGGGAAGCACATCTCCAGCTGCCTCCCCTTCACCTGGGCTTACCTGACCAGCTCCACAGTTCCACGCAGTACTCGTTCCATAAAAAGTTGTTGGGTTCTCCTCGTTTCCAGGATCTGTAGAGGAACCTGGAGCCATCACTCCACTTCCAGATGCGTCGCTAGAATGACAGAGAAGCCATGTTAGCCAACTGGGGAAGGGGCTCTGGCTGTGAGGGCCCAGAGGCAGAGAGAGAAAAGTTGATAAGGGATTTTCGATAAACAGCTATCCAAAAAAGTGAAGTATAGAACAATACACATATTAAAAGTGGCCAGACTAGCTTTTGCTCAATGTTGGAAGCTACCCCATATACCTACGGAACAGATGATCATCCAAAAAATCTCAGATTGTGCAGAAATGGATAAACTAACTTTAGCCTTAACAAATAAAGATTCTTCAATATATCATAACAATTGGAATTGCTGGTATAAATGGTTAGAACAAAGGCAGATTTTGTATCATAAGGCAAAAAAGAATAAGACAAATTTATATGTGTGATATATAAACATACATACGGATAAGGTGTGCGTATATGGCATAAACTAAGAAAAGAAAAGATCTTACAAACTGTCAAAAATGAGAATGTTCTTAAGTGCTTTTCCATTCTTTTTTCTTTTTCTCTTTCCTTTTCTTTTCTTTTTTGCTCTTCTATCTGTGTATGTGTTGTTGATTTGTTTTTAATTGTAAAATTAATAAAATTTCTAGTTGTTTTTTTTAAAAAGAAACCACCCAAGGGGCCCTCAAGAGGAAAGGAGGCCCTGGTACTGGGATAGGGGCCTGGGCAGGATCCGTCCCTCTGGGGCTTCAAAGACAGCACTCAGTTCTTCAATGGGGCAGGAGGATTTGGTAAGCGGGGAGAGAGAGAGAGACCGGATGGGAGTAAATGTTTTTTTTCTATGGTGTTATCCAGTGGTGGGCTTCAAATAATTTAACAACCAGTTCTCTGCCCAGTTGCTGGATGGCCATGGTGGGCATGGCCTAGGCAGCCTCCTGCACCATCCTTGGAGCAAAAATGGGCTGTGGAGGGATCATTTTCAACCACCCTGGGCTCCGGAGGTTCTCTGGGGTCTGGAAATAGGCCCATTTTCACCCTCCAGGGGCCTCTGGGAGGCCCATTTTCCACCTCCCTGGGCTCTACACACCCCCTGCACTTACCTGGGATCCAAAACAGGCCACGTGGGGACTCCTGGGAGAGGAAGAATGGGGTGGGGCCAGCCAGTCGTCGGAGCTACCGGTACGCCGAACCAGATGTAAAATTAACACACGGTTCGGCCAAACCGGTGCGAACCGGCTGAATCCCATCCATGGTGTTACCCAAGGCAAGAACATTCCACGGAGAGATCAGTGACTCCCGTGGGAGGATTCGTCAATAAAACCCCTTAGAAACAGTCAAGCTGGATCCATAAAGGTTAGCCTCAGAAAGGACCTACTTTCTCTGGATCACTCAGTCCGATCCAGACATTGATGAGGAAGACATCGTGGGAGGTCAACTTGGCCACGTAAGCTGACTCCGCCCAGCTTTGGATAGAGGCGAGGTGGCTGCCTTCCTCCTGCTGCCTGCAGGATATCTGGGAGAGAAGGACAACAGAGAAAGAGCCTTGTTCAACAGAGAAGGAGTGTCTTGTCTTTTGTGCATGTGAGAAAAGCTAGAAGCCAAAAGGCTGCAAGTTCTAATCCCGCCTTAGGCATGAAAGCCAGCTGGGCGACTTTGGGCCACTGCCTCCCTCTCGGCCCAGTCCAGCCCACCGGATTGTCGTTATGTGGAAAACAGAAGGTGGAGGAAGGACTATTGTGAGCCTTGGCCATCTGGAGTTATTTGTAAAATAAATAAAATAAACGTGGGAGAAAACTCAATAACAACAACAACCCCACATTAAGGAGAGGCATTGGTGGAGATGGATGGCAGGAGTGAACAAACCAGGAAAGTTGCAAACCCCTGGCCTTCATCGGCCCCATAGGCTACCCATAAGGCTGCTGCCATCTGGCCATCTGCCCTTCTTATGCCCAGAGGCAGGAGAGGAATTGGCAGCCGGGGGCAACAAATGGTCCCCTGGCTCAAAGAGTAGAGAAAGGAACTTTAAATGGACTCAGAGAAACAACCCATAGAATCATTTAAGACTAACCTACAATCATACCCTTTTCATACACTCTCCTCCTCCTCCTCCTCCTCCTTCTCTTCCTCCTCCTCTTCCTTATCCTCCTCCCTCCATTTCATCTTAGCCAGAGGGGCCTGGGGGACTTTGCAAGGCTCTGCTTAAGACTTCTGCTAAGTCTACGAGATTCACAGGCACACAAACATTTCTAACCTCTGCCTCACGCCAGCTCTTGAGAGTTTTGAAGACCTTGTAGCAATGCCCATTAAAGAAGGACCACTCGAAGGGACATTGGAGGTTGGCTCCACTTCCTGTGTGGGAAAAGAGGAAACCCAATGAAAAGATGGCCAGGGGAGGAGGAGGAGGAGGAGGAGGAGGAGGAGGAGGAGGAGGAGGA